GTACAGAGAGACAGAGAGAGACAGACAGACAGACAGACACAGACAGACAGACAGACAGACAGACAGACAGACAGACAGACAGAAAGACAGACAGACAGACAGACAGAGAAGAGAGATGTTATCAATTTTGTTTGATGTTGTTGTTGTTGTTTTCAAATCCCTTTAGCTGGGAGCATTTCGCTCTTGGCAGCGCAATGCCTTCCTCTAGTAACCTTCTCATCTGGTCAACGCCAGAGTACAGCAGGCTTTGTAAGTTTGTAAGTGTGTGTAGGAGCCTGCGTCGAAGAACTGCCAGGTTTGGGCAGTAAAGGAGAAGATGTTCAACGGTCTCCTCGTGGTAGCCACAGTGTCTGCAATGGGGTTCCCACATGGGGTCGATTCTGTTTATGTGCTTGTTGGTGTGTAAGTGTCCTGTGCGGGCTCTGAAGATCAATGTCTGGTCGGCTCTACATAAAAGATTTGAAGGGTCTTCGGGGTTGGGTTTGTCCATGTACCCGAAGAGAGATCTTCCTGTTTCTGCGTTGGCCCATCTGTTTAGCCACTCGTCTCTGCTTTTGGCTTGGATGATCCCTCTGCAGGCCTGTAAAGAGGCGGTTGCGTCTGTCTGGGGCAGGCTAGCTCCAGTCTTCGATAGATTGTCTCCAGAATGACCAGGCACCCACTGCAGTGTGACCCGGACGCAATAGGAAGTGCCCATCTGTTTTACAAGGCTGAGGATGTTCCCGTCACCGCTGTAGTCTCCTCCTCCTTCGACGGCTTGGAGTACTGACATTGAGTCAGAGAAGACAACAACATCCCCTAGTGTTATTGCACCTTCAAAAAAGTCTTGGGCGATCTGTTCCAAGGTCTTTATTATGGCGATTCTCTCTGCGTCATAGTTAGAGCTGTATGTTCCACATGGGCCAAATAGTTGGGTCTGCTTCTTCTCTCCAAGGTTGTTTGGATATTTGATGGTAGATCCGTATCCAGCATTTCGTGTAGCGTTTGTTGCTGACCCATCTGTGTATGCATGGATTGGAGTTTCAGCATACGAGTCCACTGTCTCCAGGGCGCTAGTTCTGAGTATTTATTCTGGTGTGGTCTTGTCACAAGAAGGGTCTAGAAGTCTCGTCCTTATTGTGATTTCTGGTGTCTGCCAATATGGAGGTTCGCTGCTGATGTTGGTGTTTGGTTCTCTGTTCTTTGATGGGTCTAACGCCTCAAGTAGTTTTTTTGCTTCTCGCATAAAGGAGGTCTCCTGGGTGCGTGTTTTCGGTTCCCACTCATCTGCCATTTTCCTGTTTTTGTTCGTGTCTTCTTGCCGCACAAATCTTTCATAGGTTTCGAGTGTAGCACTCATTCTTCTGAGGTCCAGTGGTTCTTTGTTGGTGTGGATTTCGCAGGCACTTGTAGGCGTGGTCTTCATCGCGCCAAAAACAAATCTGAGTGCTTGGTTCTGTACTCTGTCAAGCTGTGCCAGGGAGCTTTGGCTGGCTATGGATTGTAGTGGTAGGGAGTAGTCAATCACAGATCTGACATACCCTATATAAAGTTGTCGGAGGGTTGCTTTGTCAGCTCCCCAGTTGAGTGATGAAAGGTGTTTCAGTAGGTTTAGTCTGGAGGTGGCTTTCTTGGTCAGCTCCCCTAAGTGCTCTTTGAGAGACAGCTTTCGGTCCAGTTGTACACCAAGGTACTTGGGATGGATATTTTGTTTGATAAATACACATACAAAAGCATGGTAGCAAAGATTAAACTATTTCATTCCTCTAAAAGGAATTCGAACTGAATAATTTTTCGGCCGAATAACATCTTAATCAACCAGGACATGGATTAAAACAAAGCAAAAACACGCATTCACTCACACACATACACACACACACACACACACATACACGGAGACATACCAGAGAATGGGCCAGCAGATATATTAGACAGTTTTAAAACCAACACCGAATCAGCCTCCCAGTGAAAATGAGCAATGGTCCAGCCTGGTACATAACAAAAAACAAAAATACAGGGTGATCTAAAAAAAATATTGTACAACTCTTTTTGTTAATATTTTCCTCCACACTGAAGTTTTACGCTTCAAAATTGCACACAACTATTGGAAATCAAAAGGAAGTTGTATGATATTCATTTTAGATAAATCCAGAGAATAATTTTGTTTTACACAGCGCGTAAAAAAAACAACCCATTTTCAGCTATGTCCCCATTTTTGTAGCATGGCGCACTGGTTCGCATTATGCCTACCACTAAAAGTCCAAATGATTGAGCCGTATTGCGTACTACAGTAGTTTAACACACCAACAGAATTTTGCAGATAGTTTTTCTCAAGTTTCCTATGCCTACTGTGATCATGGTTAAGATTAGTAAAGAGTAGAGATCTTTTGTATTGAACATTTCCTCACCTTCAACTGATTTCGGGAGTTTCGCACAAGGTACAGATATAATGTTAAAGTGCCCTTAAGGCTTTCCTTGATGTCAAGGGTGGAAATGGTTTACCCATTAGTAGGCTACCAGTACAGAATCAGAACTAAACATTCCCAGACCATTTCAGGTCAAACATACACCGTTCGCACCCCTTTAAACATCACCTGGGTGCAGAATTCCGTAGATGAGCCCCATGAGACGTCTGTCCGTAGACGATGACTGCAGAAATGTATTTCCTTCATCTCAACTGTCCGCATTCTCAAGGCAGATCTTCATCTACGACTGTACCATTTTACCGGTACTATCAGATGATAGCAATGTGTTCATGATTCCATGATCGCCTTGAAATGCGTGGACAGTTCCTCTATGACATTTTGGTTCCTTGGCAAAGCCCATATTCACCTTTCAGGTTATATCAACTCCACAAATGATGTCTATCTGGGCAACCTCACCCCTCCCCATACTGTCTCTAGAGACAGCTCCATACTGTAAAGTGTACAATGTATGTGGCTTTGAGTACTCATAGTTGAGTGGATCCTTTTTGGGGGGCCACCATTGAACATTACGAACGACGCGTTAAAATGTGTCGAGTCCAAAGGAGGACATATAGACCATTGATTTTAGGAATTCCAGAATATTTTTTAAAAATTTAAAATCTGTATAGAAAAGATATATTGTTTAAAGGTTACAGTGATAGAAAAATTAGCTTTTAGATATAAAAGGAAGGAAAAAATCAAACCAACCATTTCATGACTTCCCTTTCAATATCTTTTAAATTGGCTCATTTTGCATTTATAGGTGGTTTTTATAAAAGCCATTTCCGTTTTCAAAAATATGTTTCTTCTTTGTGAATTTTATGTCAAACAAATTCCTTTTGAACGAATTGTATCTATTCCAATAACAACATTTTAGTACAAATTTTGTGCGAGATATTTAGAAAAAGAAGTTGTTCAGTTTGGGGGTTTTTTTGATCACCCTGGAAAAATTCTGCTCACCGGTATACAGGTATATAACACACAACCGCTGATGATCCTGCAAAATAAAGGATAGTTGTTTGAGTATAACACACAGACGATGTTGTCTGGGGGAGGGGGGCGGTAAGGGTATACACTGTAACTTGTATGTAACTAAGTTTGTTTTAGCTAATGTTTATTCGATGGTATCAAATCTTTTGAACTCTAAAAATAATGAAAAAATAATTTTCCGGCAATTAGAGAGAAAATGAAACAGAAATATGAAATATAATAGAAAGACTTTTATTCACTCTTCATAGGTAGTATATCCCGGGCGACAACTAGGCATCATTATAGGACATGGTACACACTCGTAGATGTAACACGGGTCACCAGAGTCTCTGTGGAAAGAATGCAGCTGTACTTTAGATCAGGTGTTATCAAACATTCTTTAAAGTGGATTATATAGCTGTGAGAATACTGAGATCAGCTCGGGTAAGTATCTTATTATTGCTTTCAATACAATACACCAGGTACATCGCTAAAGACAACCAGTTTGTTTTTCTATCAGTACACGAAACTATTTTTAAAATGCACCAATTAATAATTAAATACAGCACACATTTTAAAAATTATTATACCAGCTGACCAGAAAAAAGTTCGTTAAAATAAATATTAATACATTTCTTGTTTACGATCCAATTCATAATAAAAAACGACCGAAAGCTAGAACATCCATCAGGATTATGGTGGTTTTTTTCAAGTTCACTGCTGTTGCACAAAGGTAAGATGATAAAACTGTTAACCCCTGTACGGCATGCTTTTGCACCGAACATATATCAACAAACAAAATCTACCAAATCTACATTTGCATTATTTGCTCGGGTACACAGGATAGATACCTGTAACAAACATAATTTTCCAAACATAAGGTTCATTTTGAAATGGGCAGCAAATTTTGAACGTTTTGGGTCCATACAAGTACAGAACTCGAATTCTAATCACTCGAATTGTAACACACGGTAGGCAGCCTGTAAAAACAACGCACTCTTGAAAAGGTTACGGTGGTCCGTGATTCGGTGAAGTGTGACCAATACTTCATCATCCTATCCAAATTTTGGAGAAGCTTAGAACTGTTTGTTCAAGATAGAAGAAGAACTTCCAGCAAGGCAGGACAGCTCGTCATAACTCCAAAGCTGTTTTGTGGACTTTCAATATTTGATGTATTGGAACGACAAGGAGTGTGAGGAGGGGGGAGGGGTTTTGAAAGCATCCAAGATTTGAAACAAACCACAATGGAAGGCGCGAAACAGATTTCCCCCGACCAGTGTCAATGCCTACCATATATCAGAATGTACTTTAGCCTACTCGAAATTGGGGGTATCTGGAAGATATAATTAGTGAAACTTTGTTGATGGATGTCATATTATAGTGTTATTAATACAGAATAAATCTGGATGGATGGCCCACATTAAAACTTCTGCAAACGTTGGTGTTTGTACCGAAATTCATACGGTTTTGTCGGCTTTCATTTTGGACAAACATTTTTCAGGTCACCTGGATATTGTTTATGGAATTTCCGTGCAAAGGGGACCTGATACGATCAGATGAGCCTCGTTTGCGAAGAGAAATAATTATTACGATAAATGAAATGTTTGATACAGTAAACCCGATGAAGTGTGAGATATATTAGCAAAGATAGTACATAATGTAGACTCTTTGATATTAGCCAAATGTCGTAAGATTTAAAAACGCACATTTTATTTGCTCGTGGAATTAAGGGGGTGAATGATTTAATTATTTTGTTGACCAAGTACTGAGTACGTTAAAAACATGCCAGTCGAAACAGCTGCCACAGTTCGTTATCTCAGAATTACAAGGTTCTATCTTCTCAGTGCCTAGTTTTGAGAATTATGACTCAAAAATGTTGAGTTTCCCAACATGACAAGCTTTTACGAATGCAGATTTTTTAATATCTTGAAAACGACTCCAAATAATCGTATGATTTCGATACAACAGAAAGAACAATTTGTTTGC